TGATCTACACACCTTAGCCTCCCAAAGTGCTGGGATTACAGGCGTGAGCTACTGTGCCCGGCCAAAACCCCGTCTTTATAAAAGATACAAAAAGTTAGCTGGGTGTGGTGGCAGGTGCCTGTAGTCGCAGCTACTGGTAAGGCTAGGTTGGGAGGATCACCTAAGCCCAGGACTTGCAATGAGCTGTGATCATACCCCTGCACTCCAGCCTGGGCAACAGAGTGAAACCTGGTCTCAAAAATTTTTTAAAAGGCAGTTCGGGCACGGTGGCTCATGCCTGTAATCCCAGCAATTTGGGAGGCCGCGGTGGAGGGATAACAAGGTCAGGAGTTCCAGACTAGCCTGGCCAACACAGTAAAAATCTGTCTCTACTAAAAATAGAAAAAATTAGCCTATCTTGGTGGCTCACACATGTAATTCCAGCACTTTGGGAGGCCAAGGCGGGCAGATCACGAGGTCAGGAGTTCGAGCCCAGCCTGACCAACATGGTGAAACCTCATCTCTACTAAAAGCACAAAAATTAGCCGAGCGTGGTGGCGCCAGCCTATAATCCCAGCTACTGGGGAGGCAGAGGCAGGAGAATTGCTTGAACCCTGGCAGCGGTGGTTGCAGTGAGCTGAGATTGTGTCATTGCACTTCAGCCTGGGCAATAAGAGATGGTGTTTCACTATGTTTGCCAGGCTGGTCTTGAACTCCTGACCTTGTGATCTGCCCACTTTGGCCTCCCAAATTGCTGGGATTACAGGTGTGAGCCTCCTCACCTAACAACTTTTTTTTTTTTTTAAACAGTCTTGCTCTGTTACCCAGGCAGGAGTGCAGTGGCCCCATCATAGCTCACTGTATCTTCTACCTCCTGGCTCAAGAGATCCTTCCACCTTAGCCTCCTGAGTAGCTGGGACTATAGGTAGACTCCACCACACCCAGCTAACATTTTTTGGTACAGTCAGGGTCTTGCTTTGTTGCCCAGACTGGTCTCCAGCTACTGGGCTCAAGTGATCTTCCTGCTTTAGCCTCCCAAAGTGCTGGAATTACAGCATGAACCACTTGGCCTGGCCACTACATGAGACTATTTGCCCTTCGGTTGCTGTTAGATACTTAGATGCTTCTGTGCATCGCCAGTACTTGGATACTTGTGTGCACCTGTGCTCTTCTAAGGGGGACGCCCACAAGAGCTGTTGCTGGCACAAGGTACCTGCATTCTCATCTTGACACCATGTCTTAGTCTGTTTTGTTCTGCCATAACAGAGTAGCACAGGCTAGGGAATGTATAATGAACAGAAATCTGGCTCGGCGTGATGACCCACATCTGTAATCCCAGCACTTTGAGAGGCCAAGGCAGGTGGATCACTTGAAATTAGTAGCTCAAGACCAGCCTGGCCAACATGTTGAAACGCCATCTCTACAAAAAATTTGCCTGACATGGTGGCACATGCTTGTAATCCCAGCTACTAGAGAGTCTGAGGCAGGAGAATCACTTGAACCCAGGATGCGGAGCTTGCAGTGAGCTGAGGTCATACCACTGCACTCCTGCTTGGAAGACAGAGCGAGACTCCCTCTCAAAAAAAAAAAAAAAAAAAAAAAGTAAGGAAAATCTATTGGCTAACAAACCTGAAGACTGAGAAGTCTCAGATGGTGAAGCCTGTATCTGGTGGGGGCCTTCCTGCTTCATTGTAACATGGTGGAAGGCATGTCATCTGAGAGAGAAAGGGGTGAATTTATTCTTTATAAGGAACTCATTCCTGTGCAAACGCACTCACTTTCGTGATAATGACATTACTGTGTTCCTGAGAGCAGAGCCCTGGTGACCTAATTACCTCTTTTTTTTTTTTTTTTTTTTTTTGAGATGGAGTCTCGCTCACACCAGGCTGGAGTGTGGTGGCACAATCTTGGCTCACTGCAGCCTCCACCTCCCAGTTCAAGTGATTCTTTTGCCTCAGCCTTCCAAGTAGCTGGGACTACATGAGCGCACCACCATGCCTGGCTAATTTTTGTATTTTTTAGTAGAGATGGGGTTTCACCATGTTCGTCAGGATGGTCTTGATCTCTTGATCTCATGATCCGCCCGCCTCGGCCTCCCAAAGTACTGGGATTACAGGCGTGAATCCCCGCGCCTGGCCCTATTTACCTCTTGAAGGTCTCACTTCTAAATTCTATTGCACTGCGGATTACATTTCCAACCCAGGAACTTTGGGGGACACATCATATCACAGCACATAGTTTTATCAAATGCTCCTCCAAAGTGATTGTTCCTGGTTACCACACCCTGGCTATCCAGTGGGGCCGTTTCCTCTAGCGTCCCTTTAGCAGCAAGGACAGTTAGGAAGGGGTGGAGCTGACACTGAACCTGTGTCTGTACATATTATGTAATTATATACCCTGCTTCAAAGTCCTGCTCTGTTGCTCTGGAGTGCAGTGACATGATCATAGCTCATTGTAGCCTGCAACTCCTGGGCTCAAGCTATGATCCCCCTGCCTCAGCCTCCTGAGTAGGCATGTGCCACCAGCCCCAGTGAATTTAAAAAATTATTATTTTTGACTCCAGCTCTGTTGCCTAGGCTGGAGTGCAGTGGCGTGATCTCGGCTGACTGCAGCCTCTGCCTCCTGAGTTCAAGTGATTCTCCTGCCTCAGCCTACTGAGTAGCTGGGATTACAGGCACGCACCACCACTCCTGGCTGTTTTTATTATTACTAGAGACACGATTTCACCATGTTGGCCAGGATGGTCTTGATATCCTGACCCTATGATACACCCGCCTCAGCCTCCCAAAGTGCTGGCCTTGTTTTTCTTTTTGAGACAGAGTCTCGCTCTGTTGCCCAGGTTGGAGTGCAGCAGCGTGATCTCGACTCATTGCAACCTCTGCCTCCCAGGTTCTAGCAATTCTCCTGTCTCAGCCTCTCGAGTAGCTGGCACTACAAGCATGCTCTGCCACGCCTGGCTAATTTTTGTAGTTTTTTGTTTTTTTT